TTTGTGGCCCTGTATGCCCTCAAGCTCCTGAGTGGCTCCAAGTAGGAGGTACCTGGCCTTGCACAGGGAACCCCTCTGCAAGGTGTTGGGAAATCCCTGCTGATGAGACAGGTTTCTCTCTCAATATCATCCTTTACAAATGCTCAAGGCTGCTTTGGCTAGAAAAGCAAATTTAAGGCTGGAAAATTCATTAAGGATGCTAAAGGCTGAATATCAAAGTGGATTTGTCTGTCTGTCTCCCCATGAATGAAGACAGAGAACAGCAAAATCCACAAAGAATAACAGGCTTGGCTGCAGTGCCTCATGTAATCCTGCTTCCCTACAAATGTTGCTGCTGCTTCTGCAATCAGAAAATGGGAAAGGGAAGGGCAAAGGGAATGGGAAGGGAATGCAGAGGGAAAGGGGAGATGCAAAAGAAAAGGGAAAGTAAATACAAAGGCAAAAATGAAATGCAAAGGGAAAGGGAAGGAAATGGCAAGGGAAAGGGAAGGAAATGCAAAGGGAAAGGGAAGGAAATGCAAAGGAAACCAAAGCCAATGGAAAACATCAGCAGTGACTCCCCTGGTCCCCCTCTGGTTCAGCGGGAGCTCCATGAACTGCTAATGCAAGGAAGCTGAGGTGACCCCAAAGGTTTCACTGACACCTCCCCGGTCCCATCTCCCTGAGGTGCTCATGGGACACGGGCAGCACTTCACAGAAAAAATACAAATACTCTCATTGTCACTTCATAAATAAAGAGCAGTGTCTTGCTAAGCAATTGAGAGTTCTCAAAGGCAGTTTCTCAATTTCATGTGGTTTTGGTCCCATGGCACATCCCACAACCTCGGGATTGAGGCTGTACCAGAAAGAAGGGCCCTTGCTGTGGATGCAGGAGTCTCATGTAGAGAACTTTCCAAAATAAAGTGTGAATATTCTTATTATGCCGTTGTACAGTGTTCTAAGAGAGACTAATAAAAGAGAACTATTCAGGTAAAAACTTGCCCTTGAGTCCTGGAATCTGCACATGCATGGCTTTTGCTGTTAAACAAGCAAGGCCATGTATCCAGGAAACATGGARTGGCTTGGGTTGGAAGGCACCTCAAGGCTTATCCAGTTCCACCCCCTGCCATGGACAGAGACACCTTCCACTGCACCTGGAGCCCAGGGTGCTCCAAGCCCCATCCAGCCTGGCCTTGGACACTTCCAGGGATGGGGGAGATGCAGATTCTC